AAAACTATTCGATGTCGACCACTTCTAATGTCGAACCGATAAAATTATAATGAATTCCTTTTATATGTCTTGAAAATACTTAATATCGCTTTACCTGGATGTTTCTCACTGATCGCGTGGATAAATATTCCAAACTAAACTCGTTTTTTGCAATAATTTAACTCTTTAATTTTTTATCCATAGGTGTGATGACAACTTTGGCTCAGAGCCTCTCGCCGCTTGGTATATTTCTTAAATTGACTAAAATAATAATATTTTATGGATTGAATTTTCAAAATAACGCATTGTTTCTTTGTTACAGGTAATCACGTGACCGATTGCTTTATCCAGTGGTCGGATGATACGCCTTCGTTTATAAAACCTTCAAACAATTATATATACTGGTTTTTACATATAAATAAAAGAAAATTCATGGATCACAATCGTAAATTAACGTCTTATTTTTCCGTTCCAGGTGATCATGTAACTTTGGGATTTGGACTTATTTTCTTAACACTCTTTTTTGATTTCTAATTATTAAACAACTATGTATTACAACTTAAATTATAACTCAAATAAACGCTAACGCATGGATTACATTTTTCTTAATTCATCGGATGCCCGAATTGTCATCACTTTTTTATATTTCAGACATTTAATTATTATTTTCCCGTCCAGGTAAAGGTTTTCTTTAATTGATGGAACGTTATTCATCATTTACATTTTATTTTTATTCCATACTCACACGTTCATTCATCCATCCATATAAAATATAAATTGTGTAATGCTGTATAAAATATAAAAGAAAATCCAATATGCTGTTACACCGTGGCAGGGGTGTAACGTGGGAAGGACTCGTATTGGTGGTTATTGAATGATGCACAGTTATGTCGTTTACTCACTGACTGTATTTAACGTGCTACTTACAAGATGATTACTGCGCGTGCCGACAGCGTAACGCTATGCGTTAATGATTAAAGTGAACTCCCGCAGTGGTCCGCTGGACGGCGGGTTTTATCCCGTCTCGAGTGGGCCACTGCACTGCTCAGCAGTTGCAATTGTTGCTTAATTGCAACTGCCGCAGTTTTTGGAGGACGCGTATTGAGGTTGCCGAAGTCCTGCGTCGGCGTCCTCAATTATTATGGGTCACCGTTGCAATATTAGATTGCAACAGTGACCTGCTTATCACTAAGTGTGACGTAAGTAAGGCACAGCGAGATTTACAACAATGCTTATTAACCATTTACCCTAAAACTATATAAACTTTCATACTTCATCTATTGCATATATTAATACAATGGGTAAAACATAAAACCAAAAATAATATAAAGATATAGAATTCATGATCACCTTGTTACAACACTTAATCTAAATTACGTAAACTTTTATATCACTTCCTTAATGTAACAGATCAACATAAACTGAATAAAAAAAATAAATAAAATTAGCCCATGAAAAATCCTTAATATTGAATAAACACACTGAAATAATATTGTATAAAGTCCCTGACATTAATCAGATCACGTGAACTTATTTTTCCCTGCTCTCTCTTTCTTCTGTCTCCATCGGTAATGGCGGGGTTACCGGCTCAAACCGTGGACTTTCCGGCTCGACCTCCTCCTCCGCCGCGATCTCGGGAATTTCCACCACATCCTCGTTGCGACGCCTCTCCCGTTCCGCCATCCACTGGTGGACTATGCGCAGCGCCTTTTCTGCTCTGGCCGAAAAAGATTCAGCCGTCGATGACTGCGCCGTGGATGTCTGCGCCAATGTAGACGGACACAATTTAACCTGAGATATGTACTGGGATTCTCAAACGTCTTAACGACGATTGTCGGCCTTTCGTATATGTAAAAAAAAAATGCCTGGTTGTTGTGTGGATGGCTGTAAAAATGTAAAACGAGAAAGGTTTTCGATTATTTCGTTTGACAACAGGAAAAAATAACATCGAAAGACGCGAAGAATGGTTAAAATTAATCGGGAAAAACACGTTGCCAGCAAGGGCAGTAATTTGTGAGGTATAGTTAATGAGTTTTAAACGTGTATGTAAAACAGTATTGTATAATAATAATTCAATAAATAATAATTACATCAATTTTATAGGTGCATTTCGATGACAAACAATTTGAGAGAAGTCGACAAGATGGGAGAAAACTACTCTGCCCATATGCAAAACCCAATTTATTAAAAAAACATTCAGCGGAGAAAAGAAAGGAAGATGTAGCTAAAAAAGATAAATATTATAATCATGTTCAGGATTTAGAATCTCGTAAGTTTTATTCAACACATCAATTTTTTTATACATCCCTGATAAACAGGAAAGGATTAATTCAAATAAATTGAAAATTCAATTAAATTCATTTCTATCTATTTCAATTCATTTTCGTTTGCTGGGTTATAATTTCATGTATTAATGTAATTATAATGTAAGTAATATAATAAAAATTAATATGTAGATGACTATGAGCTCAATACAACAATTAATACCGATAATAATACCGACATGGAAATAATAATCAATACTGAAGCAACTCATGCCGAAACAATAAGCAATACAGAAGAAATCCACATTGAAGTAACTCAAGCCGAAACAACAAATGTAGAAATATTAAGAGATACTGCATCAAATCAAATATCTTACAAAGGGCGTATTCGACACTTACAGACAAGATTAAAAAAGTCGTTGCGACAATGCAGTTTATTGAAAAGAAAGTTACGAAAAAAAAATAAAAAT